CTTCCACCTCCATGCTTCATGCTGAGGATGCAAAAGTGTCTGAAATTATACATTTCATGTCCACCATCCTGCACCCCACCTCCATCAGGAATGATTTATTGTTTGTTTTAATACATGTATAGGGATTTTTATATAAATACGGTAAAAAAAAATAAATAAATAACACACCATTGCAATTGTGCATTTTCTACAAAAAATATCTACATCTACAAAAATCATTACATTTACACAAAAAAGATATTGTGTTTCGGGGCAGATTGAACAGTTTAACCTTTCCTTGACAAACTTATCTTTGTTCTCCAAAGGTTAGATACATATTTTATTGTTAATTTAATGTATTTATGTCTGTTTTTTTAGTTCAATTCAATGTATTGTTTTTATCAATAAAGGGTATTCTGTATTTTTAAATCAGTTTTGAGGAGTTATAGCTGTTTTTATTTCTTTTTATATTTGTATTTTTCATTGTAGCATGCTTACTGTTGTGTTTTGTTTTTTTTAGGAAGACAATTTTAAGATCTGTCCAGGGACAACAGATGAAAAATAGCCTTTTGGCTAATTCTGCTGCATTTGCAGGAATGCTTTTTAATGCACACTGTCCCTGTCAAATAAATAAATTAATAAAAAAAAATTAATTGATTTGGTTTTGTTTTTGCAATACCGTTTTTTTTTTTGTTGTTGCAAATTTCTGTTCCAATTGGGTACAAAAAAGTATAAACATGATACTTTTACTGTAAATAAGCTCCTTTTTCTTTATTACGTGTTGTAACGCTGAATGATGCATGGAAATAGAGGAATATAAAAACAACATTGACGGAGCTGTGATGAGTTGATAGCAGACGTGTGAATGATCTGATCATATCGTTGATCCCATCCATCTATTTTCCGTCATGCTGGGGTGTCCATCTCCAGCTGTCTATGGGTGAAAGGCTGGGTCCATCCTAGACAGGTCTCCAGTCCATCTCAGGGAAACACAGAGACAAACAGGACAAACATCCATTCACTCTCACACCTAAGATTTAGAGAAGCCAGTTAACCTAACCGTCATGTTTTTGGTCTGTGGGAGGAAGCCGGAGTACCCGGAGAGAACCCATGCATGCTCAGGGAGAACATGTAGAAAGACCCCAGGCCAGGAAGCAAACCCGGAACCTTCTTGCTGCAAGGCAGAAGGTTCCGGGTTCGATTCCGGTAATAGATAATAATATTGGCAGGAATAGAGGGGCCCCAAAGTCCCATTTTTTTTAGAAACAGCCCTGGATTAATCTGTGCATTGATTCTTATTGTAAAATATTCAGATTAACTTTTCCCGTGTTTGACGTCTTGTTTGGCCCCATTGGTCATCACAGTCCTCTCCCTTTCTGCCATAATAAAGCTCTCTTTGTTAGTTTCTCCCTGTTTTTTTGCTCGTTCAGTGAACATTTTTACAAGCCGCTGCATGTGACGTGTAGGACGAGGCTACTTGGGGCGGCGTTGAAAATCCAGAGAACAGTGTGTCTAGTCCCCCCCCCCAGCTAAGATGAATGACTTCCCTTCAGCCATCTGTGCTGTCAACAGAGGAGCGGGGTGGGGGGACAGAAGAGGAAAGAAGTTTGCAGCTGCAGAGACGGAACTGCGCTTGGCTGAACTCTGTGAAGAAAATACAGCAATTTACAGAAATTTAATGGGACGCTAGAATTGACCTAATAATGATACCAAGCTGGGATCAATTTATGAATATTTTGAAGGAAAACAAAAAACAATAAACAGAGAAAGCCGGAAACCAAAATAAAAGTAAAAATCACATTAAATGTCCACTTTTAAGGCAAGGCTTAAAACATTTGTTTTTGATAGACTGGCTCAGGTTATCCTGAGCTATCTCTATATTTATGCTGCTATAGGCTTAGACTGCTGGAGGACATAGGGACCATTTTTCATCATTCTGCTTCTTTCAACTTCTGTTTCCAGTTCTACATTTGTTAATCTAACCTTAAACTTAATTTACTCAGTTTTTTTTTTTGTCATAATTCTAGCTTTGTCTGGTTCTGTTTCGTTGTGACACCATCCTGGAAGGAGGCAACGGTTGCTGCTATGCTGCTGTCAACATCTTCCCTTAAATTATGATAGAGCCTGTTTATTTTAGTCCTTAATCCCTTTTCTCTCCTAGATATAGATATAGGCTCTACTGTGACTAACTATGTGCTCTTTTTCATTCTTTTTGGTTCTTTTCTTAAATGTGTCTTTAAATGTAAACTTTATTTTAAACATTAATATTAATGTGATCTATGTTTCCTTCATCTTTGGCTCATTTGTCCTTAAATGTCCTTTGTGCTGCAGTGACTCGGCCACCAGGAGGCGCTGGTAACCAAACCTCAGAAGAATTAAAGTTAAATTCAGAACAGACTCATATTTCCCTCTACATTCATGACGTCACTCTGGACTCACTCTGGACCAAACCAACGCTCACCATCAAACCGGAAGTTCCAGGATAGTTTCTTCACTATAAAATCCGAAGTTTTTTTTTCACTCTGATATTTTTGCTGACTGGAAAACATGTGAGCTATGACGTCAGAGGAGGGAAAATAAGCAACTTTCAACTTTAAAGGGAGATTAAGACCCTCAGCTTCTGTTTAATGCATATTAAATATGAAAGTATGTCAGATTATTAAACGTAACGATACAGGAACAGTTAAACATTAACATCCATTTATGTGTTTGAATCATAGATGAAGAGAACATGACTTTAGCAGAAGATTAAACTATATTTGATGATAATATGAGAATAAAACATAGAACAGGCACTAATTCTGTGACTATAGGAGATGCTGCTTCTCCTAAAAGCTTTTTTCTTACCACCTGAATTTTTATTTCTTTTTTAATTTGATCAAAATAAAACTTTATTATGCTTTTATTTTTTTATAATGGTCTCAAAGCCCTCACCCTTACCATACATGGGCAGTGACGTCATCGGGCGGAGGACTGTGAGTGACCATCTTGGGCAATGATCACATTTTGCTTCAGTGACTAGTTTGCTTAGTCATTATATGTAGAGATTTCTTGATTAGATTGAATTGTACCTTTCTATTGCTCATTGTCTATTTTTCCATTTTTTTTTTAATTCAGACTGGTTTTTGTTGGTTTGTTCAGGAACAACAGGCCAAACATTCAGTTTGCTAATTCTGGTGCTTTTGCAGCCATAATAAAGGCTTTAAATCAAAGCAACCAAACTTTCTCTCAGCTTTTCTGAAGATAATTTTGACTTCTAACCACTAATATTTGTCAGTTTCGTAAGTCCATCCTGCAAAGCAGATTCCCCCACCAGGAAATTCCCACAGAGCCTGAAAACATCAGATCTCTAGGGCAAACCGTCAAAAAAATAAAAATAAAAATCTGAATCTAATTTCTTATCGTCCAGATCTATTTGAGGAACTTTACAGTTCCCCTCCCTGTTGGACCTTTGGTAAATAAAGGTGTTACACAGGAACTCTAGTATCATGTGAGGATTGGAGAACCCACATTGGTTATTATTTTATCATTTCTATCCTAACAAGCCTGTATTAGTTATATGCAACCCCTGAACTCTAACCTTTGACCTGTAAAGGATCTGTTTGATGTGATCTATAACATACAGGTAAACATGGGATCTAACCTATAATCTATAACCTGTGAGTTAGTCTGTGACTTATAACTTGTAACCAATCAGCTGCTCCTTTAACCTGTAACAACCTGTAGTATATGACCTTTAACCTTTGGGAGTCTGGCTGAAATATTCTGTTCCCAATTGTTTGTTTTCTTTCCAAAGGGAGGAAAAGGTGATGTTACATATTTTCTTATTGATCATATTATATCATATTAGTTTTATATTATTTACTTTCAACTGGAGGAATTATGTTCTTAGTGACCCCACATTCACACCCAGACATAAAAATACAGATACTAAGTTATAGAAATAGTACTTTAGTCACTACATTATATGGAGCGAATATGTAAAATTCTCAAATAATTAACTGCCGAATACTCTAGACAACGTAAAACCCATGTCAAAGATAGAAAATAGCTGATAAATATCTAGTTGTGACATATTTTAAACAGAAATCCATTTCAGTCTGTGGTTTTCAGCAAGTCTGGTTTTTCATGTCCAGGGGAGCGAACTTTGCTCCTTTTATATGAGTAATGATAACTATAAATAAACCGGATGTTAGAAAACAGTGTTTGGTAACTTAGACTCACACATAATAGCAGCTTTATCGGGCCTTCGTTTACCAGAAAAGGCAGATTTACATCATAAAATAGGAAACAACCTTGATATTACTGTCTCCTGCAGAAGGTCTGGATGTGGCTGCAGAGATTTAACATTTGATCCTTCATAGGCAAACTTAGCGTTTTTGATCCCTTGCATCCCCCTTATAAATGGACCCCCCCCCTCCTCAGTGAGGTCTAGAAGAACAAGATCTATATCCAGCCATTCAGCAAACACACTGCTACATGGCTGCACATCTTATTTTGGCATTTGACCAATTAGATGAGCAATTAGATGACTTGTTAAAAATTAATAAGTCAAGAAAAAAATGTAAAAAATCGAATTGAAAACTTAAAAAGTTAAAAATCCTAGTTAACAATTATATATAGGTTTATAAACTAAAAAAAGACAGTATCAGTATCACCATTATGCCTCTAAGGTTATGTTGGACCAATAAAAATGTGTTTCTTTCACTCTAAGAGTTTTTTTCATGAATTTCTAATAGAAGCACTTTTGTTATTTTTCTTCATATATTTGGTGTTTCTTCTTACTGGAAATAAGGAAATAAGGTCTTGTCCTGGATTCCAATAAGACTATTGAATATTGATTTACTGAGTGCCCTAGAAAGGGTTAATTTATATTAAATTAGTTAATTTATATTATACCAATGACATGACTTTCTACCTGGCTGAGTTTTATTTTGAAAGGCAGAGCCGGATGTAGTGTGTGTGTTGTTTCCGCTCTGAGCCGCAGCGCAGCGCTCCGTTCAGCTTCATTTAAACCTCCGGCAGCTGCGGAGGAGCAGCCACTCTTCCCCAGCAGCTCAGCCGCCCTCAGGTCGCGGTCTCTCGGCCATGGCTTCCGTCACCTGCCGGGTCCAGTACCTGGAGGACTGGGACCCCTTCATCTGCACCAACTTCCCCGAACCCCGGAGACCTCCGACCGTGGAGGTGGAGGAGGACCAGCCGCTGAGCGAACAGATTCCCGGGATCCACAAGCTGCTCGGAGCGCCGCACAAGGTGAGTCACACTCCGAACCGGACCAGAACCGGGACAGAACCGGACTAGAACTAGACTAGAACCGGACCGGGAGGAATCTTAGCGACAGAAACTCAGGTGGAGATTTAATGAAGGAGCTAAAAAAAAGGAGAAAGTTTTTGAGATTCAGTTTTCTCATGCTGCGCTCTGAGTGACGTCACACATTAATCACCAAAGGTGTCCCAGATTAAATTAGGATTCTGAGATCAGAGGTCCGATTAGATCCGGACCTCCATGGGTGAGCATGGGACAGGAAGGGAAAGGTTCTACAGTGACCCGGGTTTAAACATTTCAGCAGACCTTTGGGTCTGGTTCTGGTCCATTTCTCATTTAAATCTCAGGTTAAAATCTCCAGGTTCTTCCTGCAGGTTCTAGATGTTTTCCTGTTTCAGCAGCTGATCTCCATCAATGGCTCATTAGCAGGTCAAACCCGCAGGTCAGGGGTCATGACCCTGAACCCGCAGGTCAGGGGTCATAACCCTGAACCCGCAGGTCAGCGGTCATGACCCTGACCTGTGCAGGAGGAGGTTCTATGGGGGGCCGCTGGAGGAGGTTCTATGGGGGGGCTGCTGGAGGAGGTTCTATGGGGGCCACAGGAGGAGGTTCTATGGGGGGCCACAGGAGGAGGTTCTATGGGGGGCCACAGGAGGAGGTTCTATGGGGGCCACAGGAGGAGGTCCTATGGGGGCCACAGGAGGAGGTTCTATGGGGGGCCACAGGAGGAGGTTCTATGGGGGCCACAGGAGGAGGTTTTATGGGGGCCACAGGAGGAGGTTCTATGGGGGGCCACAGGAGGAGGTTCTATGGGGGCCACAGGAGGAGGTTTTATGGGGGC